TACAGTCTTTCCTCTTATGTCTGAATGAACTGATGTCTATGCATTTAGAAACATGAACATGCTGCATCTCAGATGGGAGAAAGTTCTAGAAAAGCAGCAGCATTGCTCTGATCGAGCTACCTGCACCCCTAATTCCTCCTCCACTTGTACAGGGAGATGTTACTCAGCTGAGTTTTCCAGCAGAAGTTATGTTTTTGTCATCTCTGAAATGCTGCAGAGGAACAAACTTTTCCACAATTTTTTGTATTTACTTTGCTTTTGGGATGCTATCACATTAAATCTTTCTTTGGCTGTGCTAGTTAGTCAAATGGTTAACACCTTAGAGTCAAACATTTAATTAAAATATATAGGTCAGGATGTTTTTCTCCGATAGAAAGGACTTATACATTTCAACAAAAGGAAATCCTTTCCTTTCTTGCCCTGGAAAAGTTAAGATGTCAGTCTACTTTCCTCTTCATTCCTCTGACTAGGTTCTCTTAGGTTCTCTCTCACAAGGCCACTTCTTGAGAAAGGTGACCCTCACAACTCTGACTTCTTCCTTTCTCCCAGTCTGCACATTTTTCTTGCCTAGTTTGGATGCACACAACTGAAAAGGTGCATTTTCCTCCATCAAAAGAATCACATTTTTCCCAGACACAAAAAGCAAGCTAAGTTTTAGAAATGCAAACTGAGCTCCAAGAGGAAAATGACAGGATCTCATGAGCTGGAACACTGTACAGTCCCCGATCCCTGACTCTTCCAATGGCTGCTGTTCTTCCTCCAGAAGTCCTCTGGGAACCATGTGGCAATTGACTGGTTTTCCCAGTGAACTTGCAGCAGGAAAAGTTCGCCCGCTCACTCCTGAAAAGTACTGCAAGGGGCCCCCATTTTGTGCATGGAGCAGCGGCAGCGTGCGGCATTTGCATTCAGCCCCAAAGCCCTGCGTTTTGTCTGCTTTTGTCACAGGATCACCCAGAGAAACTGAATGGTGGAAGCCCGGTATGGGGAGCTCTGGTTTGGAAGCTTCAGTGCTTAAAGCAGGTCCTGATTCTATTATTATTATTATTATTATTATTATTATTATTATTATTATTATTACATCTGTACAGTTGTGTTTTTAAGAAAGGGAAATGTGCCTCAAGCGTGGCCACAATTTCCAAAAACAAACAAACAAGACACTGTTTGTGCAAGTCGCAGCCATATTTTCATTAATTGTTCTCCCACTTAACATACTGAGTCAGTGCCAGTATCTGAGGGGGCTCAATGGGAAATCCCTTGTGAAAGGGATGGGATAATGGCAGTGGGACTGGGAAGATCTGCCCAGAAACCCAGCACTCTTCTGTCCATCCACCTTTTCATTCTCAGCCCCTGCTCAGGAAGCAAGCCAGGCCAAGAGGACGTCCACCACCACTCGCGGATGTCTGGCTGCAGAACCAACCACCTTCTTCTGTATAATGCGCTGCGCCAACAAAAGTCACAAGTCAAATGCACGGAAGAAGTGCTCAGTTCCTGGTGGGTGAATCAGAAATGCTCTGTGCGCATGCCAGAAAGTCAGCCCAAAACTGTGCTGGAGTCTGGGGAGCTGCTGGATTCCCACCCCCAACATGGATTCCTCACATGTCCCTAAATGGTCGTCCTTCACATAGGAATTTTGCTACCATAATATGTAGTGATATAATTAAATTAGATAGGCAAATTCACAGAGGGGAAGGCTGCCCCTGGCACCTAGTCATGATGGATATCGGCTACCTCTGGAATAAGAAGCAGCAGGAATCCCAACATGAGTTGCTGTGGAACACAGGTAGGCAGGTGTGATTCTCGCCTGTGAACTTTCTCTAAACATTCAATTGCCCATTGTGCGAATGGAATGTTGGACGAAACAGGAATTTGGTCCAATGCAGCAAGGCTTTTCTTATATTCTTAAGTGAGACTGGTTGATACAAGCATCCTTCCATCTGTACCAGCTCCCTGGCCAGACCCACGTCAGTTTTAAAACCATTCGTAACTTGGAATCAGAGTAACTTTGTGCTTGCCCAGGCATTAAGGTTTTCCTCTCTTCAGTGCCCCTGGTGAGGTACAGACCATATTTACTGGGGGAACGACTTGTTTAGGTGTGGCATCTTGGTGATGGAATGCCTTCTCCACAGATGTGCACCCAGCATCTACCTTTCTGAGACTGTCTTCCCTGGCCTTTTCTCTCATTTATCTCATAATCCAATCTAGATACTCATAGCCTCCAAACCTGGAGGATTACAGGCATCCTGTGCTGAGCAGAAGGAGTGCAGAGGCAAAAGTCACCTCCAGGTTCCCCTGCCTTGCAAAACCCTTAAGTAGCTGGCTTTGTCTGAATGTCACAACCTGAAGGATGATGGAAAGAGGCTGAGGTGCTGCCTGCATCCCTCCTTGTGTGGCAGCACTGTTCTGGTCCCCTCCCTGCGCTCTGCCTACTCACAAGCCCCCTTCTCTGAGGTTGCATTTGCAACCTCAGAGAAACAGCCTGCATGGTTCTTCCTTGGCCAGCTGCATTCAGAGCTTTGGAGAGCCGTGTCCAACCTAGAAGTGGTTGAGGTTGGAGCTGGGGCTACCAAGAATCCTGTCAATATCCAGGCACCATGGGATTACGCTGCCCACTTCCGATGCATGTTTATTTTCACCAGAGCCCTCTATGTTGCACTGTGTTTCACTGTTGAACCATTGCATTATATGTATGCTCCTTAATTTGTTTTTCTTCTTGCTAGTAAGCCACTTGAGGACTTGACATACTTATAATTCATAAATAAAAACATGCATTCTAGTTCAAGAAAGAAAGAGGTATTTGATGGGTAGAAGCTTGTGAGTTCCCCTATGACTTTCCTTTCCCTCCCAACTTTCCAACAATGCCCACCCTGCGCTTGTTAGCAAGGAAGTGACAAAGAAATGTTAGATCTGCAGAAGTTGTCGGACATGTTTATACATGCTTTCAGAAATGTGATTTCTGGCTCATATGCAACTGAGGTTCATGGACCTTCATTTTTGCATTGGCTGAAAGGTTTGGGATAACGCCCTATTATGTGAAAAAGCACACACGCTTTCCTTTATATCCTAGTCACTTATTTGTGAGTGCACTCATTCTCATGCATTGGGTGTGTTAAAATGGGACTGTAAACATCTTGTGATGCTGATCTTTGTAAAAGAAAAGAGAAATTGCAATGGGGGAAAATCATGATGGAGTATGATCATTCTGAAAACAACATATTGTATATTATGTAATTATATTTTGCAACTGTTTCCAACATTCTATCAAATATTGCTTTCTCAGTATAGTAATTGTACATCTGTTCTCCATTTGTTAAAATGGTTTCCCCATATCGTACAATGACTATTATGATGCTTTAACAAAGGGAAGAAAGAGGGAGGGAAGGGGGATGATGATGAGGAGGAGGAGGAGGAAGAGGAGGAGGAGGAGAGGGAGGTTGGTCTGAAAACTGGCAGCTGGGAGAGTTTGAGTCACCAAATTAAAAAAAACCTTACATTACCCTACAGTCCTTCTGAAGCGAAGTAGGAAAGGTATGAACAGTGATAAACTTTCATCACCTCAAGGAGGTCAGCACAACATTTGCAATGGTCTTGCTATATATGTTTTCCTCTGACTACTTAATTCATGATGGCATAGTCAAAGAAAAAAGCAAGTCTGTTCAAATCTACATGGCTGTCCTAATGACTGCACTACAGACAATGGGCTTCCTAGGCAAAGAAACTGGCCCACAACTGGAACACATCTGTGCATGCGTCTTTTAGCATGAACTGAAAACAGCTTCAACATAAGCTATGCTAAAGCCACTGACCCCCAAGAAATATTGCCCAGGGCTGGCTGCTGGTTCAGTTGGCCTTTCCACAGAGGACTGAGGACAGCAACTTCGTGTTGCTGACATCACCACCAATCCCATTAATTATGCAGGCACTTCCTAGATTCTGCACGGGTGCAGTTGTTTGATTAGAAATCCATCTGTATCTATATCCATCAAATTCCTAATTTTGATCCATTCTAATGTGTCCAGTAACAGAACACAGAGCAGAGCCAGGCCAGGCATAAACGCGCGTTTCACATTCTCTGGCCTATTCATCAAGGACCAGGAGCTGGTTATTCCTCATCTGCCTGTGCAGGTTTTTATAGGAGGAAGCAGCAGCCATTCAGTTCTATGGGAGAAAATAAAGTATACTGACTGCAAAAAGAGAATGCATCCTTAAAGAAGGTAAAGAAGAATGTGAAGAATAAAGTCGATGTGTTTTGGAAGGAACAGGTAGTCTTAAATTTCCAAACTGTAGGTACAAGAAAGCCAGCTTCCAAAAATGCACATGGAGTTTATTACTTTGAAGGATATACCATGCACTGTAGGAATAAGTCCTGGTCGCACTCAGCCTGGTTTATGTTCGGAAACAGAATGTGTCACTTGCAGACACTGTGGAGGGGATGCTCCTAAACAGGGTGGCCAGGCCTCCACAAAGCAGGATGCGTCCCAAGGGAGATGCAATGTGCTTGCTGGCATCCATTCCCTGCTCAAGGTCTCATCCACACAGGCCAGCCAGTGTGCTGCCAAAAGCAAAATAATAGCAGCAATAACGCTTAAAGCCCCTGGGTTACAAGTTAAACATTTGCTTGGTGGCTACAGTTTAATACGGCATTCAACCTCCTCAGTAACTAGATGTTTGCACTCCTCCCAAAATGCATCTCTGCCCGTGTAAGTGTTCCTCCCAGTCTCTCTCTCTCCAGCGTTCCTTCTCAAGGGGAATTTACATAACAACATGGGACACACAAAATGCTTCAAAGCCACCAACCATGACAGTGCAAATTACTATCATTTGTCAACCCTGTGTGCAAGGTGCTCCACTTCAGGCAACAGAGATTGGTTACATGCTGTGTGTAGTTTGTGTGGCAAGAGAAGATCATCATGCATGGCACTCACAAATGCTCGGTCGCTTGCTGGGGTGGGAGGAGGAGGGGAGCGCTGAGGCAGGCGCCAGAGAAGCCCACGGCTACTTACCCGCCATAGGCTGGGATCGGAGGTGGGGGAGCTGCTGCACGAAAGGTGTTATAGACAGTACGGCCTCTCCCTCTGAGGTGTGCCCCTCTGTACGCAGCAGCTGCACTTGCGGCAGGGTAAGGGAAACCTGGCACTGAAAAAGACAAGCAGAAACAAAGGACGTGCATGCCAATCCGACTCCTTCGGTTCTGTTCTGTTCCATAAAAATGACAGTGCCTTGGGACTGGAAGGGAGAGATCTGCTCTGGAATCTCCAGTTGGGACAGGGCTGGGATTGGGTCCACAGGGAGCAAAACTTGCCCATCCAATGTGGTGCTCTCAGGCTTGCTCACACATGGAACTTTCCCTAGATAGCATGGATGCCTTTGATAATTTTGCATGACTAATGAAAGCTACTCATAACATATAGCTGCATCTGTCCACTTTAGTTTCATCCACATCTTTTGTATTTTGGGATCCATTACTTTAGCTGGCAATTTTTATATGCTTCTAACATTTTTTAGTGTATAAGTACAGAATTATGGTGCTTCTGGTATCGGGGGCAGATTTTTGTTTAGGGAAAAATGAAACAGAAAATTTAGGCCACTGAAAGCCAGTGAAAGCCTAGCAATTAATTCACAGTTCGCATTATTCAGACTCACACTTTATTTATTTGCATATTTATATATTATTCATTTATTTATACAATTTATTACCTGCTTTTCATTTTAAAATAATTCCACAATGGGGTGCAGTACCAATACAACATAATGAAATCACATAGCATCAACAAAAATGCATGGCAAAACAGGACAACAGGAAGACTGGTAAGTAAGTTGACAGCAAGTAAGCTTACTAAGCAGCTTGTGTAAAGCACAGTAGCACAGATTCAGTCAAGGGTTCAGGTGAACAAGTACACCTTTTGTTGGTGCCAAGAGCACGTAAGACCCTGCATCTGACAGCATATGAAAAATTGCAATACTGGATGTACTTGGCTGAGTCTTTTCCATCTGTGTTTCATGACTTGTCAGAAATCCTTCATTCCATCATCTGCTCATTGATAGAATTCAATTATGCAAGAAGAGGTTTGCACATTTGCAAAATTTGTACCACTGCAAAGTTGCAGTTTTAAACATGAGGAAACATCAGCCCAAAATATATGAATCCCCCCAAAACATGCATTTTCACCCTTGAGTCTAAGAGGAGGCACAAATACACATTTTCAGTAGATGCATTTTTAAAATTTATTTCTTATTTTTCAGTGACTACATATAGAAGAAATCAGGGAAAGTAAAACCAAAAGCCCCATGCAACTCAGGAAAATATGTCCTGCAGTGAATTTCTGTGGGTTAGAGTCCTAGAAATATCAATTCATTTGAATCCACTGGGAATTTTTCTGACATCCCCAATTGTCAGAGTTACAGAATGTCTCATGTCATTCAGCCATCCTTAAATCAGGTGATATTTCACTGATTTGGGGGGAAATCCGCTTTCAGCAGATGTCATTCTGCAGGTACAAGCAGTGGTGTAATCTGTGTGTGACATGAGGACGTTTGCTTTCAAATTCTTGCAACCAATTGAGCATGTGGTTCATTCACCATTTCCATAACTGTACAAGCTATTTGCTAACAAACATGAACAAATCCATTTACACTTTCAAAGAATTATAGTTAATTATCAGTCTTTAACCACAGAAAGGATATACTGTGACACCAAAACTGTTACTGAATGTGGCCTATATTAATATATGTCAGGCACATGTTCGGGGGAAGCTTACATACGTGACTTAAGTCTTGCAGTGGAGCAGAATTAGCCAAGCAGGTAAGCATATGTCTGCATGTTCTTTTAGTAATATGGAGTTCCTTACTGGAAGGATGATTGTATTCACCTCCAATTTCACATGCCAGTCTGAACTGTCTTCCCCAGAAGCAGCTGCCCTTTCTTTCCTTTTATGACTCTGCATTCTGCAACACCTGCTTCCACTCAGTCAGTTACCAATTCTAAGCCTTAGTTTTTGCTGGGTTCATCCCTTTATCATTCCATTATCTGGAGTAGGTGCTTTCTCTTTGTGGAATGGGCAGTCTTCTTGCATGCCGGTGCTTGACCCTGCCCCTGTCACCCTGCCCCTTCTGCATCCACATGGCCTCTGCAAGCAGTTCCCTTAAATCGTTTAGTGTTCCACTACGAAAGGCATCCCGTTTAGGGGTGGTTTCGTTTCATTTTGTCTTGGTTCGCTCCGGCTCGTCTCGTTTGTTCCTTTAAGATTTCATGCCCCATATCTATACTAGTCTTCTCCAGCCTGGTGTCATCCAGAAGATCTGTTCCTTCAGCCTCACCTGGCATGGTCAATGGTCAATAATGTAAGGAGGCACAGTCCAAACATCTGAGAAGAACCTTGTAGGGGAAAGCTGGTCTGTACTGTACTTCACTGAGGTGACAGCCACAAGCTTAAGATAAGCTTAGGGCCAAACTAAAGATCCTGCTAGTTTACTTTCTAACTTGAGTGTAAGAGCACTTGACCTTGAGTTAGACTGGGACATGCTGATTTGAAAGGGAAGATTTATGTCCCACCCCAACTCCCAACACACACACATACTGCAGCAGGAATTTAAAAAAAGAGAGCAAAAGGAAACCAACCCCTTTGGCATAATCAGATAGATACTTTTTTACTTCTCCCAGTGGGATTTTGAGGTGAAAGGAGGGGTAGTGAAGCTTCAAACCCCCCTCCAAAGTTGCCACGGTCTGGACTGCACCCATGTGAGTAAGCCCACCTCCCACAGTTCTGCTAAATGAGACTGGCTGAATGCTTAATTCAGTCCTCGTAAAGGCCACCTTCTCTTCCACTCCACCCAAGTCCCACAAGGCTTTGGAGGAAGAGGAGGAAACCTGTCCAGGTGCCTGCTTGCCTCACCCAGCCTTCCTGAGAGGCCACCTGTTTCTAAGGGAGAGAAGATGAGAGCTGTAACGAGGGAAGTCACTGGCAGAAGACATGGCCTCTCTGAGTCTGCTTTAAACACAGTGCCACAGGAGCGGAAAGACAAGCGACCATGACTTACTTCAGGGCAAGCCCACAGAGCACCGGATCACAGTCCCACTTCAGTGATCTCTACTGCATTTCTACTGATGTTCCTGCCATAATTTGCAAATGTCACAGCTTCTTTTTACTGATGCACGTCCTCATTTATTTTATCTCTTGGCAATGCTTACTCCTCATTCCTTCACCCTGTTACAGTCACCACTGAATTTCATTTGCACTGAAATCCCGAGATGTAGAGGTTCCCTCTCATATAGAATCTGCATAAAGGAAGCTAAAGGCATTTGGGTTAGGGTTAAGGCATGGGGGGGGGGGGGGGGGGGGAGCAAGGCCTGCACATTCATCAATGCCACTGCACTCTGCCCAGTTATAAATTCAGGGTGCATTTGGGTACTCTGCTCATGCAGTGGAGCAGAGGAATTCCAAGAGAAACCGTAAAAGCTCATTAAGGCTACCATTATTTCTCAGGTAGGCGTCACATATCCTTAGCTTTAAGTGACAGTCTGGTTAAGCAGTAGTACTTGAAGTTCGATGGAAAATTTTGAAGGTGTTTTACTGGGTTGCAGAGAGGTCTATAAGGGATCTCTTTCAACTAACGTCTCGAACACAATTCCATTAAAATTTAAGCAGTTGCTTAAATATTGGGGTGGGAAGTGGAAGAGGACAGTGCCCCTCGGGATACACGACACACACAGTGATGAATGAATGCAACTCCCTGAGATCAAGCAGAGCAGCAGAGAGTGCTGAGTTGCCTCAATAAACGGAGAGCGCTGAGCTTGAGGGTATCTTCTGCAGCCAGAATCTTAAGCAAGCGAGTAAAACAAATACTACTGATTAAACCCAAGTAAAAGAAAGTGAGTAGAGGTAATGATGCATCAAAAGATAAATTTGACACTAGAAGACAGACACTTTGCCAAAATCATGGAGGATTTTCTCTGGATTTCAAATCATATTTTCAAAGCCATACTGAAATGAAAATAAAAATAAGAACCCCCACCATGCAGAAGCTATCAGAAGCAAGTATTTTATCATCTGCCTACCTATCCATCTTCACAAGCAAGCACATACACCAAGTTCTATCAATTGCCTTGCAAGGAAGACTGCAAAAGGATGAGGCAGGTGAAGACTTTAAGGACTGCTCTAGGGGGACTTCCTACCTATTCACCTGCCCCCAGGGCCATCCACTATCAGCAGCTATGCAGTAAGGATTCCAGGGAAGAAGCAAAAATAGATGTGGGTAAGACCAGACACCTGCTCCTGTTCCAGCTGGTCTCACCTTTCCACAAGGTTCTCTTCACCAATGGGCAGTGTACTAGACTGAGGAGACCTGGGTTCGAGACTGCACTTGGCCTTGAAGCTCACTTTGGGCCATTTCCTGTTTCTCAGCCAATCCTTACCATGCATGCTTTTGGTGAGAATACAAAGGGGAGGAGAGGGTTTGTAGGTCGGCCTGGGCTCCTTGAAGGGGAAAAAGAGAAGTGGGATGCAAATACATTGGGATGCAATCCTATATTGTTTAGACAGGCAGAAGATTGTGCCTTTAATAAATGAACGAACAAATGAACGAATGAACACATGTCGGCTTGCAATCTGCTATGGTCTTGGAATGAGCTTCAAGATGGGATTCGGACAACTTCAGTGAGCCCAAGTTTCACTGATACCAAATGCATGCTGCATTCAAAGCAAATGCATGCTGCATTCAAAGCACATGGAACTCTCCAAAGCAAGGGTGATGATGAAGATACAGAAAGAGACATTTCCATTTATTTGGTTCTTGCTCCTGTTCTGTGCCATCCAATAATCTCTGATTTATTGCAAACTCATGAACAGAAGCCCTCCAAAACTCCTGTCCATGACAGCCCAGCTCTTCTCTTCTAAATCCAAGGCTGTGGCTTTCTATGTGCAGTCAATATTGTATTTGGTCTTCCACTTCTTCTGCCATTTGGGTTTCCCTAGCATGAGGGCCTTCTCCAGTGTGAATTTTTATCTCGACAAATTCAAAATGGTGGCTCACTTTTTGGAATCAATCCATCTCGAAATAAATAATCCATTTCTTTATTGTGATTATTCTGTTGTTGTTCTTTGGTTTTATAATAATGATAATAAAACCAAATAATAATA